CAATACCCATTACGTCTTATGGCTGGAATTTTTCTGTTTTGAAGTAATTAGAATTTTAAAATTCCATTTATTAACACAAGTTTAAATCAATCAACTATCCATTGGCAGACAATACTCCCAGGGTATATTTTCATTTCAGTAAAATATTAAAACAAAACTAGCTGGAATGAGTTGCAGATGAGAGACATTCTTTCCACTCCTTCTTATTTTTTGTCTGACCAAACCAACATTGAACTAAAGAAATTTCAAAGTTGAATGACTAAGTTCACTAAGACAGATACTTTTCTGATGTGACTAAATTACCAGAAAAGAAAAATTAAAGGGTACTTTCCATCTACACTGGAATCTATGATTAGCATAGTTGGCTGAAAGGAACTTCTTCTGAATTGTACCTCTATTCAAATGGCAAATCACTCTGTAAGTGGTATAAGGAGATTAAAGAGATAAAATATTACTACCACTCAACCAATATTTTTTGGTCAACAGAAAGTGAAATAGTGCTCAATGAAATAAATTTTGTAATTGAACTGAGCATTCCATGACAGTTACAATTCTTTGAGATCACCATAAAATCTAAAAACATATTGAGAGAAATTTCTTTCTAAACTTGAATCTTCATATAAGAAGGTTAGTAATAGTGAAATTCTTTCCAACCAAAACTATCCAACACAGGCTAACCACTCTGGAGCTCTTAATTACTGTCCTGTGTCATCTATTGTACCCTTTCTTCTTCATAGCATGATGACGTAATTCATTTGGTGACATGCTCTGATCAACGTAAAGTTTTGGAACATGAGAAAATGGTGACTCAGTGAAGCCATTGTAGAACAGAAATATTCTTTTGCTGTATTCGAAGGACAGGAACATTATCCCAGCATTTGGAGCAATCTAGACAAAAAGAAGTTGGTTGTAGTTAGGGAAAACTCAAAAATGTTAAAAAAGGTAATGTTACTATGTGACTCCGAGTATTGCCACTTGCACTAGTCCATCACATATTTTTGCCTATCACAGGTCATTCTTCAGTATAAGGGGGGTATCAGAATCAGGCTTCCCTAAAATGTTCCTTGGCACCCATTTATACCCCTGGGTGGAGAGAGATCTCAACACAATGAGCTAGGCAGAACTGGAACCTAGATACCTTGACCTAGTGTCCTGTGCACCAACCAGAAGGACACCAGGTCACCCAGACTTAACATCATACTAACTTCTCACTAACTGGACACAAGAGCAGTACTGGGAAATGTTGGCCTAAGGTTGTGGCAGCATGGACTGAGCATAGCAAGCTCAATATACAAACAACTAAGGGCTATTATACACCAGTACAACTTAAGCTAAAAATGTTAGTCAGTAGTTTGTCATATGGCACCTGGAGCAAACTTGTTTATTTTGAATTTTTTGGCTTTTGTTATTAAAAATACACTGCTCATGACTATTTCTGTGGAAACAGTCTGTATGGAAACATACGGACTAAATAAGCACCAAATTGGAACCCTCAGATTTACTTAGGGACTACCCTGCTATATATTAATAATATATGTCATTTACTGGGCAGGAGGTCTGAATGGGGAAAAACTGTGCCAAAGGTCATGAGTACAGCCAGAGACAAGGCAACCTGAACCATGAAATTTTATCATGTCTCACCTTTAGCAAGTTAGCTGACAGACCTCTCCACAAGCCAGTTATTCCATTTACCTTCACTGTCTGAACTAGTGCACCAGTCATTCCTTTAAATTGAACATCCACACCACCATTATTTGGCAGAGTTTTGCTTTGAGCCTGTCAGAAACAAAGAAGACTTCACATGCATCACAAATTCAAAAGTGATTTTCTGCATTAAAAGCAGTTGCTCACTTACTGAAAATGTTTTTACCCTAAGAGTGACCAGCTTTTAATTTCTTCTTACATTATCACCCCAGAATCAAACATTAAGATTGTGAGAATCAAGGAAATGATCAACAACTTATAAAGCTCTTGTTATTAAACAAATTCTCCTTGTCAGCTCTTAAGGAAATGTATAGAGAACAGTATGGAGAAACTGCACACTGATATTAGGGTATAAAGGGTTAAAGGAGAATTCTGCTGCTCCATATACTCTAAAAATTTTTTATCTTCACCATCAAAATGCAGAAAAATTTTTAATTGATAGCTTAGGTTTGAAATTTCAAAACACGTAATTACCTAATTATCATAGTGACAGAGAAAGGTGTGGTCTTGAAGAAATTTGAACATGAAAAGGAATTCTAAACCTCCATGGTAAAGGGATATTAGTTTAGATTATGGTAACATATTTTTACTTGATTTGAAAAGTATTTTGCAAATCTGAATTTGGGCTGAAATTTAACACTTCAAACATATACCTGCATTTTCTTTCGAATTGTGTCAAAGGGAAATGACAATGTCTGAAAAACAAATAAATGTCACATATTTATCACTTATGAAATTGCACATGTACAGGTGATTAAGCTTGTGTTGATAATGAAAAAAGTCACAGTTTACCAAGATGCATGAATCTAAAGTTGGAGGGAAGTTCTTTGGACTCAAACTTGAGTACAGAGCAAAACAAAACCAAAATATGTGACTACTGCTTTTTCCCAAAGACAAAATATTGAACAAATTTGATTAAAAAAAGACAACATTTCAGATCAGTAGCAATCAACATTTAAGATCAGTTGGATAAAAAATAACCACAGTGGCTGAAAAGGCAGATGAAAACGTCTGCCAAAAAACCTTCACTGCGTGGACTAGGCTGCATGAAGAGAGTTCATCAACTAATCCTTGCTAATTCTTACATTTTTCAAGTACACTCAATAATATAAACTATAAATTCATCTTTTTCCAGTAAAATACAACAAAAGTAAGTAAGAAAAACCACCTTAGCAACAGCAGCAGCCAGACATCCGCTGACAAACATATACATTGGGGTCAGATCACTGGGAGACATTGCAATTGAACTGTCAAGAATTTCATACGCTAAAAATGAACCTCCAGCAAAAGGAATCACACCTTAAAAGAAACACAATATACTTCAAATTCACCAAACCATAAATATACTAAAGCTTTTGTATTGCAACACAACTCAAGATGAACTCTCATTCTTTTAGATAAATTCCACAAATTCAAGTTCAATTTCATGCAAGTTCAAATTTCACTGCCACATGTCTATACATCCAAGTACTCACCAAGAAAAGTTGGTAATAATCCTTTGTATAATGCCACAAATCCTTCCGTTTTCCAGATTTTTCGAAAACCATGTATGATTCCACGATAGTTTGATAAGGAAGGATTAACATTCTGGACAATAAGTCGAGTCTTAAGCATGTCAGCTGGGTACACCAACAGCGCTGCGATTAGATTACCCCCTGAACCGGCTACCATCCAACTTTTAGCATTTAGATTACTAGGCATGTGTGCATCATCTAAAACTGCCTGAAAATTGGGTAATATTTCAAACAATTTTTTTTTCATTGTCAAAGCACATTTCATTCAAATGTAACATTGATGATCGCATAAAGGGGAGGGACCACTATACGTACTTAAAATCTCAGAGTACCCATTTAAAATGGGTACCTTGTTCTAGGTCACAAATGTCAAAAATAATGACCTGCTGAGCAGCAAACACCAGTATGAGTTTATTTGTGTTGAGGGTAGGGGGGGAATTATCGGGAACAAAAGGGGAAGGGGTCCTAGGTAAGAGGTTCTGCACCTTCCATGTCCTATATCTTTCCCTACAGTTTCCTTTGAGCAAGTGATCATAAGAACCTTTAGCATTGAAAATGTACCATCGCTTACTACTAGGTTGTGGAAGGCAGCCATTTGTATTGCACTATAAGGAACCAGCCGTAGACAAGAGATACCATTTCCTTTCCAGAAGGCCTTTAAACCCTCACTACGATAAATCCTATTAAAAGTTCTCAAAAAACCAAAACGAGTTTCTGGGGTTCCAACTTGAGATAAAACTTTCACAACTTCGAGCGGAGAGGTCACGGTTCTTGAAAGAACGCCAGCAATTCCTCCACAGAAAACACTTTGCAAAAACGTTAACCTTTCATCCTCTGCAGGTTTCACCATTATCAAATATTAGTCTCAAAACACTTTCCAAGAAATACTTCGATCATAGAACTGTAGTAACAGCAAAGCGCTAATTTAGCCGCCATTTTTGTTTATTAGTGGCGTGGGACAATGGAACCTAGGGTTCAGGTCTCCCTCGATTATATCTGTGGCACAGGATACCCAGTTTAAAAGACATCTGAGGATACTCGGTAGCTTCTTGGGTAACAAAAAAGTAGGTTTTAATATATATGTATCATTAATGATAAAGTTTGTCTGTAAATATCTTCTTAATGAGGCGGTCCATAGTTCTTGCTCATCAACGAAATAAGTTTAAAGTGAATTTCATTTCACTTATAGACTTGCATGGCCTCAAATTTTTCAACAGTTTTTTCTTCTTCAATCAGGGCTCAACTGCTCGAGCAGGCATGATCAAAGCAATTTTCTTTTCAAATCTTGTTTTCATATTTTTATTAAATTTTTGGCTTCAGTTTGGTCAAGTGTAATTATAAATTGAGTTTTGAAACTATGATCTTCACTTATCACCTTGATTGAAAATTCTCAACATAGGAAGCATGACAGTATTAATTTTCCAAAAGGAAAAACCCCTTTGAGGATTTAAACAACAACTTCTTCCATTAACTTTTATTGCACCCACTGGTACTCCTACAAATGGTTATCTCACTCACCAAAAACATGTCTATTAAGTCTTGACCATGTCATTATTAAGTGCAGAAACTGGTCTGACAAAATACAAGTTTTAACTTGATTTTACTTTTTAGAAAATATACATCTTCAAATAAATGAGATGAACTCTTATCTTGCAAAGTGTCAGTCCAGCATTATTTTTACACAGTGGTAGTTTAGATACTGTCCAGGAGATAACCAAGAGTCTTTTACAAAGCAGGATATTTCAATCTTGTAACAGTTGAAACTGTATCCAAATCAGGATCTCAGTCATCAAAACGCCAGCTCATGTACACCGCCTTAAGCTTGTCAAAGCCAGCCAACACACCAGCTCCAGCCATGCCACGCAGGACGTTAGCTCCGGCACCCTTCATCAGGGACATGAAGCCTTCATTCTTCAAGATCTGGATGGTACAATCAATGGAGCCTTTGTATTTTACTGCCTGCCCAGATGTCATCATCATGCGTCGGCGTATGGTGTCGATTGGGTATGAAGCTAGGCCTGAGCTAACAGTCACACCATAACCCAGAAGGAATGAGAGCACCAGTGAGGCATCATCTCCCAGCAGCATTGGCTTCAGGGTGTCGTACAAGCCAAAGTAGAAACCTCGATACACAATGATACCAACACAAGATATCACGAAGCCTCTGTAGAGTCCAACAATGCCATCACTCTTCAGTGTCTTTGTGTAAACATCAATGAGGCCATTGAATTGGCGCTCAGTCCCTTTTGACTTAGCATCATTTGCCAGACGAGTTCGGGCGTAGTCAAGGGAGTACACAAAGAGCAATGACATAGCTCCAGCTGCACCGCCAGAAGCAATGTTCTTGCTAAACTTTACAGCATAAGAGTCAGTTCTATTTGGCTTGAAAAGGGCTTTGATCTGGTCTTTAAATGCAAAGTTGAGAGCCTGGGTTGGGAAGTACCTAATGCAGTTGGCGAGGTTACCTGATATAAAGAAAACAAGTTATATTACCAACAACTTATTTTCAAGGCAGAAACAAATCAATCAGTGACAAATACATTGATAAAGCAGAAAACATGGAAAATTTTATATCAAATAAATCAGTAACAGAAGGAAAAAGAAGATTTCAGCAGACATATATCTGAAGAGTGGTCCTTTGTCCCACAATTCATATATCCTTGGTAAATTGGAGTGTTGGTTATTTTGCAAATAAAAATTTATAAAAAATCTTGTCATTTAAGTTCCAATTAAGCCCAGGTAACAGGAATAGGAGGTAAGCTTGATCATGGCTTTGGTATTCCAATGAGAGAACAATTGACAAATTCCTCCGACAGCAAGCTGTGAAGTCCTCTATGCAGGCCCACCAAAAATATTTTTAGTCTACATCAAGCCCTGATCTGTGAAATTCTGGTACATGTTCCCAAAATCTTAACCCTTTAGCCCCTAAGAATGAATAGCATCTAATTTCTCCTCAGATCATCTCACATCAACTGCCATCAGAGAAGAGCTGCTTAAAAAAAAACAGCGACAGCAAACAAGAAAAGTAACAACAATATCAATACAAAGTACTTACCTCTCCAAAAAGAAATAGCTCCTTCTGCTTTGTAGGTCCTGACAGTGCAGTCTATGACGCCTTTGTAAGGTGTATCCAGTCGCCCAGCCTTTATCATCTCATCCTGGTTTTGAACAAGAAGTTTCACTCGTTCAATAGGGGCGGCTGCTGTCTTGGAGATAACTGCTGCAGCACCACTCAGTCCAAAATTTTCCACGAAGTGAAGTTTCTTCTTTTGTCCGGCCATCTAGAGAGAGAAAAGTGAAAAAAAGCCTTTTTTCTTAGGTAGAATGACACATTAATAAACATATATGGCCCTGGCGCGACTTTCTCTCTCTCGAAGGCCGCCCGCTTTGGTGCGGAGTAATCGGAAAACGCCCCATGACCTTCACGCGGCCTCATTCACGGCCTACATGACCTTGAGGCCTTCATCGGCTCGGTACGACCTCTTTTCAAAGGTGGAGAAAGAAAAGAAATTAAGAAAAAAAATTTCAATTCCCTCTCTATCGAAGACTTCACAAGGAAACTCTAGGAGTGTCTGGTTTCAGTCAATCCATTCTGGAACGTTTCGCATCCGGATGTAGCTTCGAAATCGACATCTCATCAGGAATGGTTTACGGCAAAATTTACCTTCGGCCAGGCCTTAATCTGCTGTGCATGATAAACTGAAACCATTACCTCGCTTTAAGAAAATCAAGTACTTACATTTGGGTCAAATCCGGTCAATTTATTGAGGGTCAAATCCGGTCAATTTATTGAGACAACTCTGTGCTCGAGACAAGTAAGTGACAAGTCCGGGAGAAAGAACGAAAAATTGTGTTGCTCGCGTACAAATACGACGAAAACTACATAATAACTGACGTCACTAACGTAATTAACCAATAATCTGCTTTAGTACCCTAATAAGGGAATCCCCCCGTCGTAAACAATTGGCATTAATTGATTATTAAAGAAATTAACGGCTAATTGATCTGAAAGTTTGTAGGTGTATGTATTTTTTTGGGGGGTGTTTGATCTCCTCACCCTAACTCTGTGGTCGGAAACCTTTGAGCGAACAAGCTCGTCACGCAATCTAACCAGGCAAAGTGTCGAAGTGAATACCGAGCTGTGCAAATGTATCAGCAACGCTAAGTCGGTATCAAAGAAAATTCTGTTTTTCAGAGGGCGGAAAAGCATTAAAATAGACAGAATCCTGGGGATATCAATTTTACGACCGTGCCGTCTAGAAGTGTAACTTAAAGATGATTGGAAACAAGGATATTAAATGGCTTGTCTTGTCCGCCCATGCAAATTCACTCTAATTCACCCTAATAAACACCTCAAGAAATTAACTAGCGCTCGATAATTCGGCAATGCAAGATGCTAATAAAAAAACCGGAGAAATATATATATAATATATTCTACTTCTCAGTAGAATTGAAAACTAGACAAACCAGAAATGACAGCTATTTTGCAATGTATGAAACTTTAAAAAGTATATAGGATACACGAACATGTTCGAAACATACACTAGGATCTACGTGAAAAATCCTAATCGGGTGTGGGGGTTTCCTACGTTCTCCACGCCTTACAGCCCCCTGTAGATCCTGGTCGTCAAAAGGTTTATAAAATAAAAACGGACATCGTGATTTCAGAACCTCGTTTAAGAACTTAAACTGCTCGTTGCAACAAAAGACAATTCATTAATTATCGTGTTTTTGCTTTATTCATATTCTACATTAATGCAATCTTACCTCTGTACAGGAATACAAGACTCACTTGAGTTTAAAATTTACGGAATCGCTGTACATTTACAACATAAGCGAAATATTTCGATTGAGAAGCATTGTTTGTAATCATCGGTGCTTCGCTGTTGTTTCAACCCAATCTATTGCAGACTGTCCACGTTGGTCGTTACGTAATACCGGGAACACTCGTTACGTGACTCAACAAAGAGGAGAACAGGCACGTGACATTAAATCACGCGATGCGACCTGCACAACACGTATTTCACATGAACGCAAGGAGTGATAAAGATGCCTAAGCTCCTCTTTCAAAATGTACCATTTTTTGTCCTTATTTTCAAATTATCTTCATAACTCTTTAAATAAAATTCAAAGAGCTAAGCAACTGATAAAAACAGAAAGTTTTCCGTGGCTCTGATATACCAAACTAAGCAAAAACCCAAGGATTACGGAGACGTGTCAATTCAGGTGGGTGAGGGGATTGTAGAAGATCCCCCTACGGCTCCGCCCTTACACAAATATTCGTTAAATGAATCTCACAAGACCAAACTATACCCCTCCACGATTAATAATGTACATTTCACATTGCCCGGCCTAGATATGATACACTCTATTCCGCTTTCACCTAGTTTGGTGTGTCAATTTAAAGTAATTATTGAATATTGAACAAGCAACCAAAAATTTTCACCATAAGACATTAAAACTATGTCGGCAAATCACTTTGGAAACCAAAATTAGTGTTGCTATGATATATGTATGCAAGTAAGGAAGAACATACTAGCTACATAAGCTTTTGACTCTTTTCTTTAAGTTTTTGTACACTGGAACATAGACGACGTGGTACGTAATTTATCGGCGGTTACGCCTTGTACATGACTGCAATGATGAAAACTTAGAAATAAATGATTCTCAGAAGCAGTATACATTTTAAGATTATCGGAATGTGACGCACATTGTTAGGTTACACGTTTTCCACTTTTTTTGCATTTACAGCATCAATCAGCCTTGCAGTCAGTCGTTTGGAATTAAACAAATTTCCGTGTTTCGTGAAATCGAATTTTCATAACATTTCCAATCATCTTCACTTCTTATTTTTCGCCATCGCTTCGATGAGCGTTAAAAACACATTTTACCCGAAGTAGCAGTTAACACATCGTGGTTTAAATCACAATGAACTCTCAAAAACAAATAGGAGAAATTCCTGCCTGGGCTGCAGTTTTTGTTTACACTTAGAGTACAATACATGATGCACTGTCCCACGAAAAACCTCCTCTCATCTTGAAACGCTCATAACTTCTTTAATCTTTCCAAAATGTCCTGCGCTTCATCTTCAAGGCCCTCCCCGCTCTTCTCTCCTCCTCCTCCTCGCCTGTCATCTTTTTTCCGTCTAGAAGGAGCGACGGGCTGATCATCGATATTAATATCTACTGCATTGTGCTGCCCGTCGACAGCATTTTGAGCCTCCATTATTTTCTGAACAGGTATATTTGTGCGAGTCCGTGACCGGCGTAAGTCCACAGGTCGAGCTGAAAAGATGGAAGAGAACATTAGTGATGTGCGTGACATTTTCGTGACGGTAAAGCTGGCGTTACAGATGTCACTTGCGTTGCAAAGAGATTGTGTTGATCGAGCTGAAAAGATGGAAGAGAACATTAGTGATGTGCGTGACATTTTTGTGACGGTAAAGCTGGCGTTACAGATGTCTTTTTGCGCGCGCGCGCGGGTCGGGTCGGATCTCTGAAGGCAGATCCTGTGTTGAGCGCCTCCATGAGACCATCTAACACTCCTTCTTGATCGTCATCTGCAACAAAGAAAAAAATATTTCAGTTTTCGTTTTATTTCAAGGGGTGAAAGATAACCAATAATAATGCCGCCAGATGATGGAAGCAACGAGTTCAATGTCAGAAATCCCTGAACTGATGAAAATGTAACTATTCCCCACAACTTCAACACATTATACAGCAAAAGAGTTTTTAAGAACAGACGAACTCGTCAGTGTGTGGGTTTCTCGGGATAAAGTTCAGATTTTCTCGTCTAAGGAAGCTGGTAGAGGAATTATCATTAACATGTTTGAAGTTAAAAAGGTTGATAAAAGCCACAGTCAACTACAACATTTAACACATTTAGGAGGAATAAAAAGTATTCAAGGGAAAAGAAGCGAAATAACATGTCAAAAGGCTAAGGGACAAGGAACTAAACAAGTAACATGTACCTAGCGCGGGAAAGCAAGTGAATCACAGACAGTTAGCACTGTTCACATTGACAAAGAACGGAAAATTTATGATAATCAATCACTTTTCCAGTTTGCCAAGTGGTGCTACAATATTCTAACGAAAACACGAGCTTGCCACAAACCTGCATTTATATCCACAACAGGCTTTCGTTTGGATTTCTCAGCCTCCGCTCTCTTCTTCTTTTCTTTCTCTTTTTCCTGAAATGCAAGAAATAAACTTCTTTAGAACTTCAGGCAGTGCGAGCACACTTCTGAGGCAACTGTTTATCAAACTCACCAGCGGTACAAGACCTTTCGAAGTCCAAGAAGAGACAAATGGTCTGTTCAAAGACTTTCTGTTTTAATAGTGTTCAGAGCGCGAGCAAAATATGAGCCGCGTGGAATACCAGGAGCACGATCGGAAACGCATAAACGAACGCGGAAACAAACGCAAACGCGACAGCGAAAGCGAACACGCGAGGGTTCCTCACGCTACACCCTCGCATCGCGCAGTGAAACGGCTGTCAACAAACTAGGAAACTTATTGTTGAGCTAGAAGCGATGAGAGGGAAACTCAGGCCTACAAAAAACCCAAAAGCCTGCCTGAAAGTGAAGTCTTCTGCGTCTTATTTTAAAGACAAAGTAATTCAAAGAAAGTATAACAAGAGTCATGTCGCTCTACTGAACAAAGAACGAAACCTTACCGCTCGTTCCCTTGCTTTTCTATCTTTTTCTTCTTTCTCTTTCCGTTTTGCATTGTCCTTTTTCGCGTTCTACAATATCAACAAATAACATAGGTTACCTCAGCTGAGATAACTCAGCAAGAAGACAACTCACCAAGCCACAAATAATAAACCACAAAAATAATTTTGAAGATGAAAATTCGCGTGTACAACGTGAAGATTGATTAAAAGAACTCAAGTTCACCCCGTGGTATTTCCGGTCTCACTTCGTGAGATTGCTCGGGCATTCTTGAGTTCGGGCCGACTAACTACTACAGTGTCTACACCTGAGTGAGTGAGTGACACATTTGCATATTGGATTCTTAATGTGGAAAAAAAATGGTTACCACGCTTCGCGTTACACTCGTTAAAAAAAAAAAAAAAAAACATTCAAACCATTCTCCAACCCACCCAAATTCCAGTTTTCCGTTTTCACTAAGTTCTCGACCTTCATCTATTATCTAATACAATAAAAGCACGAGGACTCAAAAGTACTGGAAACTAACCAGCAAAATGTCCGTTTTCGTTTACCTCAAAGCAGTCTAAGAAGGTTTTGATGTCACCGAAGAATTCCTCCAAGGAAGTTTTCTTGGTATCCAAGCAGAAATACTCCACCAGCTCCTTGTACATTGTGGTCATGTTTTTGTGCATCTCAACCAGGACATCTATTTGGTCTTTGGCGCTTTTATAAAAGCCGTGAGTATTGTCAAAGAAATCTCTCGCAAACAATCTCTTTTCATCCAAGAATTCATTACAAGGATCTATCTCCACGTTTGACGCTTGCAAATCCCGTTGATCGGGGTGTTGTGCTTAAAATCTCTCGGGAACAAGAAAAAAAATTATACTTCTCGACAAACACGCATAAAATAGAATTCGCAACGGTGAAACATGATTTTCATAATTATTATGGGTCTATAGTTATGAATTTTATGAGATAAACGCCCTACGAATGAAAAATTTGGCGCAAGATATCAGCGGCAAATGGCAATATTAACACTACAACAACCAAGGTCACATAGAAAAGGATATCTCCATGACCGGTAAAAACTTGTCTTCTGGATCATTGTGCGGTTTATAGGTTTCCAATTCTTTTTCGAGCTTCTTGAGGTTTCCCTGCATGCTGTTTATTGATTTCTGAAGAATTTCCTCCGATACTAAACATGGAGAGTAAAATGATTGTTAAAAAAAACTCTACCAGGACAACACTTCGTAACAGCCTGATTATCAAAGGACTGGCATCAAGACATCTCCACTTTGCACGCTTTGAAATCCCACATTCTGTGACAAAAAATTTTAAGGAGCTCGGCAGAAGGCTGAGTAACATGCACATCAGGAGTGTTTTATTGCAAGCGGATGCTTAACATCTAGATGTTGAGGTCGCCATAATGAATTGGTGAGATCGAGGAAAGCCTGGAGCGTGAAAACTAAGAAGGAGGGATGGGGCGTGGGGTCGAAGAAATTTTACCTAAGCCCCTCCCCCCTCACTAATTTGTCTTTCTTACCCCCGCCTCCCTCGTGCAATTTTTTGTACCAGGCTTTCCTCCATCTTACCATTTCAATATGGCGCCTTAAACGGTAAATCGGAACATCGAGTCGGCAAGCTTAAGGTACAATTCAATACTCTTTTCACAGATAAAACGTGCAGCTGATCCACATTCAGTTATGTTCAAGTTTTCCCATTTGAAACGACTTTTCATTAACCCTATTGTAAGTCATCATGTTGTAATTTACTCATCATACGAATTTAACTTGGCCGACGAACCTGTGAACGTCTTTTATTTTTAACTAGGATTTTTCGGATCAATATCAGTATCTGGGCAACTGTCCACCTACCCCTCCCCTAACTCAACAACAGTCTATTGATAACAAGTAAGGGTTAGTGTTGGGTTAAGGGAGGGGTAGGTGGGCAGTTACCCAGATACTAATACTGATCCGATTTTTCTAAGCTCTTAAGTTGACTCCTTTATTTTCTTTGTTCAACATCACTCGTGAACGTAACAGGTAATTAAACCGGGGAAGAGTCCATTACTTTCACCTTCCTTTAACCCTTTTTACTCCCATAAATGACCAAGACAGAATTTCTCCTTAAAATATTAATACAACATCAAATAAACAAGTGATGAGAATAAAGAAAATAATTATATCAGTTTGGGGATTGTTAGTTGATCCAATAACAAATTCTCCGAACTTCAGGTAATATGTTGACAGTTGTATGGCAGACAGAGAGAAGAATTAAGTAGATTTTGGTAGTAAAAGGGTTATTTGGAAGACGTTTTGCTGTCACGTTGCATGACACGCCTACCTAACCAAAGAATTGCGTGACGTGACAAGCGACCTCTCACCTCTAGCAGCTTGTTCAACGTGTGTCAGCTCCTTTTCAAAACCCGAAATCTCGGGATATTTTTTTTCTATCGTGTCATCCAGAAAATGAACCAAAGTCAACTGACCGTCCACAGACTTAGTTGAACTCAACTGAAAAACAGAGAACGATGTAAAACATCAGTCGACTCAAGCATTGTGTTACCAAGAGGATTACAGAGCTAAGTACAAAGGAAAATAAACAGCTTCCTAAAATTAAGAAATTGACTTCAACGCTAAAAATTTTAAACAAATATAAAGAGTACGGCAGTTTTCCCGAAAGAGTGAGGCGTTTTGGGTCCTCTTCCTAGCGCAAGTGTTGTTATAAAATCGTCGTGAAACACCTGCACTAAGGGAAGAGGGCAAACCAGACCAACTCCTATTACACGGATGGTGGTCAAAACGTAATAATGGTAAATTCCTGGTGTGATACTGAAAATAATGCCGGTATACGATACGAAGGTCACCTCGCCTTAATAAGAGACCCAAAATAACAAATCTCTTCAATGCGGCTTTGGTAAAAGTCTTTACTCGAGCCAGGTCGTGCGTTAAAGCGGAGATGTTATCCCGATTTCCATAGCATAAAGTGACTGGGAGTAAAACGACCCCACCCCTTAGATGGGTTGCCAGTCCATCGCAAAATTACCCTACAGCACTTCAAAAGATTTTTCTGATATTTCTCCGGTACCCTTTTATCCTGGGTGCATTGTGAAAGGAAAGTGCCTTGCACAAGAACACCGTCACAATGACCCAGACATGTCTAAAACCCAGACCTCTCTCCACTGGAGTCCAGTGCACTAATCACTGAGCCACTGCGCTCCCCGCTGCTTTGATACTGGTGTTTAAATGTTACGTTGAAGAACAGAAGAGCCTCGTTAGCTAACAAATGATTTTCCCGGATCTCCCTTAACTCGTACGAACAGGCATGTCCCTTAAAACCCTCTAAGCCATTTACTGCCGGGTGACTGGAATTCTCCCGTTTTCCCCTTGGCAGTTCAAGTTGAAAATGCGTAGGGTTCTTTAGTAGAAAAAAGAAAACAACATGAAGTCTGCATGAAGCTCGCTCACCTTGGTGAGATAGTTCATTTCAAATCCCATCGATCCCTCGTTTCTAGATCCAGCGTTCATATAGTTGCCCATGAGAAGAACAAGTTCAAGGAACTTGGAAAATTTGGGGCTAGTTTTTACTTCTCTGCATGCGGCAGTTGCATTTACAACATTCTGCGAAAAGAAACACAAGATTAGAAATTGTACAAAATGGTATTTACCGACTACTCTAAATCACCTTGACATTTCCCCTAATGGAGAAAAACGATAGTTTTCACGCTGTCAATTACATCGATCCTTCGAATCGTCCCTCCCTCTCCCTAGAGAAATTGAGGCCAAGAAGTGCGCTTTCCTTCTCTTCATTCTAGGTACACTGTAATAACGACAAAGTCAAGTTAAAAATCTCTCAATTAATCTTGGTTTTTCAGCGCCGCAAAGATTTCCTTTTCTTACTTTCAGCTCTGGGCAAGAACTTACCGGTTTAATATCTTGCATTTCTTCAGGAAACTTCCTCTTGAAAAGCATCATGTTCAATCTTTGTTCCAATTTTTTAATACCACTCAGCTGGAAATCGAACAGAAAATAAGAGTCAAGCTTTCAAACCAGTCTAGAACAAAACTACTGGTCCATACCATAGTAACACTTCTGAGGTGGAAGCCCTTGAATTTACTCGGAAAACAAAAATCCTGCCTATTTCGCCAATCGAAAAATAGCAATCCTTTTAAAAAGCAATCAGAATGAAATAAATCAAGCAGACTGCGCGAGTTTCCCGCCAATAAATGACTTTCCACCCTTCACTGCGAATTGCAACATCTTCCCGCGCCTAAGAAAGGGCGTTTATTTACCCGCGTTTAGCTCTTGTTACATGCCTTGACGTGAGTTTTGTGAAGTTGATAGCTACAAAGGTACGTTAAAGTTTCCAGACGATGATCCCTTGAAACAACCTACCAGGCAAACGAATTGTTCAGGATCACTGAGATCGTCGAAGCTTTCCTTCATATTTCCGAGCTGTTGCATCTAAAACGAGAGAGAAAGTTCGCTGAGAGTTTAGATATACTCCTCTATCTACTTTATTTGAATATTGGAAACACTTTTATATAGACGAAGAGTTCACTCGTTTGCTCGTTCTTTCATCGACAGGTCAGTCAATCACCGGGCGCTGGTCGGTCAATCGTTCGTTTCATCGGTAGGTCATTCGTATGTTCGTTTAGCCGGCGGGTCAATCGGTTGTATGTTCGGTCGCTCGTTCGTTTGTTCGGTCCCTAATTTGTATGTGCGGTCGCTCGTTTTATTATTCAGTCCTTCGTTCGTTTGTTCGGTCCCTCGTTCGTTTGTTCGGTCCCTCGTTCGTTTGTTCGATCCCTCGTTCGTTTTCCCTTCTACTCCCTCGTTTCTTGGCCCCACCTGATCGGGCGATGGAAGATACTTCAGCAGTGAGTTTACGGCGCTTTCCGTCAAAACCACCTGATCACAGTTCATGATCAATTTCCTGACCTCTTTATGTGCTAATTTAAGTGAGCCAAGGAAAATCGCTGCAAGACGAACAAAGCATATCTTTACTAATTAAGATGCAAGTCCAGAGCAGAAGATGAAACAGGCCATCAACTTCCTCGGTACAACTAACTCACTGGGTAACTAATCAGACGGCATAACAGGGAAATACTACAGAACCAATCAGAGCTCGTGTTGAAGAAGCTGCTACCCAACCAGAGGGCACGTTATATACATTGTAAACTACAACAAAATTAGGACAAAACATTTACGACACTTACATAAGTTCTGTGCGCTTTTTGGATCGATAATCTTTAAATCTTTGCCTTTTTTCTTAGCCGCTGCTTTCTTTTCCATTCCGTCACCGCTCTCTGTCTTTCTCGGACCGCCTTTTGCGGCAAACGCCTTCGACAGCTCATCAAATAGTCCAGGCTTCTCCAGCTTCTCCTCTTTCGTTTTTGCCCAAAATGTATTTTCTGTGAAATTGTTCATGTTAATCTGAGCAATGGAGATCAAAGCACAGAGTTAATACGATCACCTGACCAAACTGACATGTGATGTCCATGAGTTGGCCTGGAAGCAACAGCTTGCAGTCGCAACAACTAATGGTTTTCGTGTTCGCTTTTATTCTACTAAATGAGATATATAGCCCCACAGAATTGTATCTGGAAATTGGGACACGCCTTGTTAACACTATTCTCTTACATGAAGTAGGTAAAATAAAACTTTTACTTCTATAAAATAACGAGAAAAGACTGATACGGGGTTGTAACGATAGAAAATCAGTGACTGACATAATTATGGCAAAAAATGACAGTGAATACTAAAATAAGACGACAACCCGTCTTCAAGCGCTCGACATATGCTAGGAGGACAGAGGAGCGAAAATGATAAGTGAAAGTCCAAATGGAGAACTTCTCATGCTCCTTCCCATTCCTCTTGCGGCTTTGTTTCCCACAAAACAGCCAAGCAGGCAGGTGAAAACCACAATGGTAAGGAAAATGGCCAGCTGACGGCACAAACCTTATTCCAGTTTGCTCTCTTCAATTGCACGTCCTGTTTATATTTCTTCTTCGGAGCAACACCAGGAGGTAACACATGAGCAGAGGACCCAAACGGCATGCGGGGACCCATGCCAGGAAATGGTGGAGGGGGTGCACCCATTCCAGGGGGTGGAGGTGGTGGTGGTGGACCACCACCTGGAAGAGGTGGGGGAGGTGGTACACCACCACCAGGAGGTGGCGGTGGGGGAGGAGGAGGCGGACCCCCACCGGGGAATGGGGGCAAGGGAGGGGCTGGTGGACCTCCAGGAGGAGGAGGAGGAGGGGGTGGGGGTGGGGGTGCAGCTCCACCCGGTGGTGGTGGGGGTGGAGGGGGGCCACCTGAAAAGATGAAAAATAAATTATTTTCGAAATCTAAATTGTTGACAACAAAAAACAAACAAATTCAAACAAGAAGTAGCTGGCGTATTAATTTAACATATTTTCTGACCCACTAGGATCTACTATTTTCCACAAGAAAGCAAACTTCAACAGTTTCAGTCATTTTTTTAAATCATACATTCAAAATTTATGAACAGGCTAAAATTAATGTTTTTAAAGTTTTAAGTGAGTTAAATGCACCTTCCTTACATTTCATTTTTGTTTAAATCTCATTTATTTCGCTGATAAATTCCCATTTGAAATAAGAGACATATTTAGGTTAAGCTTCTTTAAATATCACGTGTGAAATCAAAAATGACCTTCTCTGAAAGCCATGGCAACATACTGCATTTTGTAGAACCTTGTTGAGTATATTCTAAATGTTCTAATCATATTTCTGAACCTCTGGAGTGTATACAAAGTAATAAACTAACACCAGCTTCCTTCAAGGTTTTTACAAGAAGGTGTGGTGCAGGTTGTCTTTCTTCACAAAGGACATGAAGAGGTCACCAAAAATTTATGTTTTTCAGCTTACTCAATTTAGTTAGGGTTATTCTCCACTAAAAACTTCACAAGACCAATGCTAACAAAGAAAGATTAGCATGTGGGCATCCAGAAGAATTAACTTACTTGCTGATGAAGGAGATGCCCAAGGGGGAAAAGGGGGTGCAGGCGGGGGTGGGGCAGGCGGAGGAGGAGGCGGAGGAGGAGGCAGAGGCGGTGCAGGGGGTGTGGAGGATGATGAAGGGATCATAAAAACTCGAGAGCAAGGCGGAGCAACACCTTCAGTTCTGGGCTGTGATTGACTGACTAATAACAAAATGTAGATTACAACACAAGTCAAAAATTAATTTTTAGAATAAGCAATTTATGATTTAAGTTTAGTATAACTTAACACAAAAAATTTCTTTGGTTGTATGAAAATTAAATATATTAATGAAAATCAGGGTTTATTGACAATCAACTTGGTGCAAAGATTCAAGGTAACAGTTCCATCAATTAGAGTAATGTAGTTTAAATTTAAGATAGATTTAGACAACAAAAATGTTAAATTTATTGTTTCAGGCAAGAGACAGTAGTGGAAAGCTACTGACAGTTATTGTTACATTTCACTGAATCACTTCATTTAATTGATTAGTTGAAATATCATTATGGTGCCTATTATTCAGTCAATTAGTCTTCCAAGTTTTTTCCAGTTTTAGAAGTAAGAAGAGGCTAAAGGCAATCAGTTTTAACAAGAAACTTGACACTTTGTAGTAATACAGCATGCACATGAACTTTTCTGACAGAGCATTAAAATCAAAAAATTAATTTTTATTGAAGAGAAAGAGGCTTCAATTGTTATGAAAATTATTAAGAATTTAAACAACTAAAGCAAGATTAAAAAATTTCAAAAATTACTCATAACAAACAGTATGGAAGCTATTCAGCACTTGGACTAAGCTTTTTTCCTCTCTCTGATTCATCTTAAAAGCATGGGCACAACAATAGATAAATAGTTTGACAAGATGAAATTTTGCCTACCTGTTACAGGGCCACCTCGCTTAGCCTGAAACAGAAAAAAATGATTTTATTAACATAACATAATAACCATTGTGCATAAAACCAAAATAAAATGACTATCATTGAACCTGTTCACGTGCTTCAGCAAGCTCCTTCTCCAGGGCAGCGATCTTGGTCTCAAAATTTGTTGATGTTAAAGTTAATTTAGCCTCACATTCTTGTCGCATTGTTGTTTCAAGTTCCAGCTAAAAATGAAATTGTACTGCATGATAAGTCAATTAATACAAGAAGACCTACCCTGTCAGTGTTAGCAGCATTAGTATAGTTGAGAAAAGTTTGACCCACAGTGTTCACATGCACCATCACTAAATGTTAGCTCCAATAAAGTAAAAGCAACTAAATAAATTTCAACTTCTTTAAATAAATGAAGTTACTCAAGATCAAAAAACTCCTGTCTACAAACCTTAGTTTCCAGCTGCATGGATTTTTCAGCTGCTTCCTCATACTGAGCTTTTTCAACCAGATTTTCTGTGGAAAATGCAAAAATGAACACAATTGTGACATTCTACTCTCTCCTTGTCAAGTTCCCTGCTTGTTACTCAATGAACAGATAATAGAACAAGTTCAAAATCAACTTTTGACAGGTCAAGTTTAAGTTTGAAGAATAAACTTGATATTTAATTACTACCCTCTAGAAATAAGTAAGTTCCTAAGAGGGAATTGCCAGTAGTTCCACTTCTGAGCTATTCTGAAGTACATGTTCTGCTCAGTAATGGCTGTCATCCCCACAGACATCCCCCCAACTGATCTCATGCATAAAACAATCTCTCTGCCATCTTTAATACAATGAATGCTCTGCAGACTCTTACAACCATGCTACCATCACAAAATTTGCCCTTAAGAGTCCAGGTTGTGAAATTGCACCTAATACAGGCACCAATGTGACTAAATTTTTCACTTTGGCAACCAAATCCTGAAAATTAGTCGCCAAATTGGCAACTAGAATGTTTCATCATAACCTTATCAAGAGATATAGTGAATTAAAAAGATTTGCAAAGATAAATCCGCGGCAAACTTCCTCGTTAAGTTTGTTTCCAAAACACAGCACATGCATATCGATCGATAACTAGATGCCATCTTGGATTTAGGTGAGCTTGAATGTTACATATTATCCATCCTAGTGTCCACTTTGTAGCACATTAAAGATCTTTTCCCTAACTTAATTTCTAGAACAATGACAGCGTAAAAAAAGGTTTTGTTTGTCTTTGAAAATGGCAACCAACTTTTTTTGAATTGGCTACCACTTAGAAGAATTTAGGAGCCAAGTGGCTATCAGAAAAAAAATTAATTTCATGCCCTGGAGTTCCCATGCTATTTGTGCTTACGCTTCTCATATCCACTCATAAAAAATGAAAATTGCAAAACAAACAAACAAACAAGAGGAAACTCACCAATGAGGGGTTCGACATCGATATCAATTCTTTTATGACCAAAGTCTGGATCAACTCCACCTCGATGAAGGACAATTTGAGATATGCACTCTTCAATTAATTTGTAGTATTGAGGTCTGTGAACAAAAAAACGGCAAAAAGTCAACCAACCATATAGCTCAGTTGAGAAATGTGCATTTTGAAGAAAACACTCTTTCACAAAGAGCATTCTATCCATTGACATGAATATTCATTATCAATTTGTAAACAGATGAGTTTAAAATGTAAATATCAATTTATAGTCTTAGTAAAAGCATCGAACACTTTATAATGTGAAATACAAGATATGTGTTAAAAAAAAACAATGCATCGATTTACTCCTATGCATGGTTCAGGTTTTAAATATGCCTACATCACTTTTCCTGTTTCAAGTTTGAGGCTTGATGTACAACAAAAGCACCTTTTTTGATACGAGGGGGGGTTCCTACGGAGGTATGAAGCAATGAATATATGTCCCACCGAAAATGGGTTGTGTCTGAGCAAAAATAGATTTGGATTGACAACTTGACTGGCTTAATTTCGTCAAGGCTTGGGCTCAACAACTGAAATCCTCACAGAGACAGTACCTGGCATAAACATCATCTCTGATGAGCAGCAAGTGCTGGAGAATGGAGAGGAACATAGGTTCTGATGGAGTGTCCTGAATGAGGTTTGTTATTATCTGTATAATCTCATTTCGATCCCTGATAGAAAGTTAAGGTGATTGTAACCCTGTTTTTTAAAAGAGACTACCAATCTTCAATCTTGATTCAACCAAATGTGAGGAGAAAGACAAGACCTTTAGATATGGCTTGTCTTCAAACCTTACAGGATTTTTATGTTTTCTCATATACAGTTCAAAAGTCATGTCAAACTGGCCAGAAAGCTTGCTCTAAAAAACACTTCAGACAAAAATTAAATTCACATGTCTTCCTTTTGTTTCAAGGCAAAAGTTAAAGGTATGAAGACCAATGATCAGTTAATTTCCTTCTGTGGCTCTCTAGCTATCTCGGATAACATGAACACAGACCTGATATCTAATTTTTAAATGCTTCTATTTTTAACAAGTTCAGTGAAACACACACAAAATTCTTGACTGTAACAAAATAGAGGTATGGTACTTCTTTCTTGAGCAGACACTTGGCCATTATTCATGCCCTAGTTATGCTTTATACTGAAATGTGAAGGATACTCAAAGTTTATTTTTATGTCGGTGAATCTCTGCTGGAATTCAGCAGAGTCATCATCTCTGTGTTCTTCAAAAATGTCCAACTGAACATTCAAAAAATCATTTTCTAAATCTCTAAGCTCCTAAAAAATATCAAATAAAAACATCAATTTATAAAACTGCTGGTGAAGTTGCAATGGTTGTTAAACAGACAGATAGACAGAGAGGAAGACAGTTAAATAGACCAGACCAGTATAAAAGATAGATGAACAGTTGACAGGAAAGACAGATTGATGGACCTGAAGAGAGGAAGGCACAGAGGTAAACCAACCCATAATAGAGAGTTGAACAGCAAGTAAATCAATGAAAGGCAAGTATACCAGAGGTAGATAACTAATGAAAACAGAGATAGTTATCAATAAGATAGAAAAATAGGAGATAAACCTGTAGAAGGTGGACAGACAAACAAACAAACAAAGAGAGACAGAAACACACACAATTAGACAGATTGATAAGCTCTCCTTGCTATACCTGTAATGGCTCATTCAAGCCTTCCCTAACAAATTCATTTCTCAAATGCAATCTGAAATCCAATTCATCTGGAGTACTGACAAGGGCATTGATAAGTTGTACACAAGCAACCTAAAGAAATGATGGACAAATTAAATCTGATTACAATCATGAATTTTTGAAAGTGTGAAGGGGTCAGTGCCATGACTAAAAATATCCATGTAAATCCAAGTTGATTTTCATGGCACTCAACAAAACACTACTCTTACTAACAAAGAAATACAAACAATGAACATATAGGTAAGAGGTTTCACCTTTAGATTTGTGTGATCGTCATCGAGTGCTTCGACCAGCTTAACAAATCTTCCCTGTTTTTCAAGCTCTCCACAGCGAGTGATTGCCTCAAGGGCTTTATCATGTCTGCAAACAAAAGTGCAAGTAAAGTTTAACTTACTGCCTTTTACCATCTCAATTGCCTTTCTCTTCTTTGTTTTCTCACTAACAACAATACACCCTGTACAAATAAGTACCAACACCTTTTTGAGTACCCCCTAATTTGGGTCCCTTTTTGACAGGGGTCCCCCAATAATCAAAGAATGGGGCCTATTGGACCCTCTTTGACCAATTTCTAGAACAAATTCCTGTATGTATGGATTGACTTACTTGACAAGACACACTGCAGCTACCACCTTGACAACATCAGCCATCATACTGGGATAGCTTGGAACCATTGATCTCGCCAGCAAAACCAAGCCGTCGTCACTTTTTAACATCATATTGAGACCATACTGTTGAGCAAAGGAATGATTGAGAAAACTGGAGATTCTTTTGAGCAAAAGTGATGTGTATTGTTGCATGGTTGGGTAGAAAAATAAATCCACTGCATTCCACCATAGAATTAAAATTAAATATCAGTTTCTTGTGGTGCAGATTATCTTGTAGTCTAATCATTAACCTAATGCTTGTCAAGAAATGTTCCTGTTGTCAGTTGTTTGGGAACATGCCTGACTTTTCTGAGTGGAAGGCATCATCAGCCTTAAACCAGGAGTTGTTTGTCAATGAGATGTTACATATCATGCCCTGGTTGTTTGAAAGGTGAATAACACCATTGATTGGATAAATCCTTATTCAGTAGATAGCACAGTACATTTTGTTGACACTTATCTTCGGGATAGCAACTTATCTCTTGCATAAGGTTATCAGCCCTTTGAATAACTGTACCTTGGTTCATGAAAATTGATTGGTCAGTTTTGCAGTGATACTGATGGCCATGTGGGTTCTAACATTCAAATGACAACCAACTCCTTAATTTACTTTGTCACCAACTCTAACAAACTGATGATTGTGAATCTTGTTTGATGTTGATATTACATGTACCTTGTTATTCATGAAGGCCTTCAAACACCTCACACACTCGTGTTGTATTCGTTTATCAATGTTTCCTTCCTTTGAACAGGAATCTCTCAGGTGTTTGATTAAGCACTGGAGCCCTTCTTCACCAAACTCTTGTATCCAACTAACAATTAAGAAGTTGATAATGTCATAGAGGCTTAAGATCGAGCCAGGGATTTCATGAACACTTTAGCTTCCAAGTGATTAACATGTAAGTTCTTCCTTTAATATCCATAAGTTAACCAGCAGACAGGAAATAAGAATACCCAAACTTATCAAATAGAAGTTGTTACCTTGATCCAACACCAAATTCTCATACCTCATTTAAAAGGTAATGTGTAGCAACTGAAGGGGAGAATTAGCAATCAGATCTTGGGAGTTTAAGGGTTAAGGATTAGGGAGGGGGAAATAGACTTGCTGTAAAGACAACTTTGAGGGGTTGGTTTTAAACTCTCAACCAAAATAATTAAGCAAAAACAACCATCCTACATTTTTAATGCAAGTCTCCTCAAAAGTAAAGTATGGTTGAACTTATAAAATATGAACATTTCATCATTTTGTTTTCCATGAGGACACTACCTTCCCTCTCCCTCAAAAAACGTGATTGGCTCAATGCCTTACAACCAGGGAAAAATTCACCTGTCATCAAACAGATAACCTGCTCATTTCCAATAAATGTACATTTTTTTCTGCCATATTGAGTTCTTAACACCACTCAACTACTTTGACAAACTAAGAATTACTTAGAGCACAGGATAACCAACCTACCTAAGTGGTCTCCCTGTGAGTGACACTCGCACAGACTGCAGTGTTTTCAAGAGATGTTCAGGTGACATATCTGACTTATTGAGTTCCTTTATATAATCATCTGGTGATGTCAGCCCAGCATGTGAAGTTTTCTTCAGATGCAAAGAATGTAAGAAAATAATCATCATAAAATATTGTCACGTTTACACAATTAATCAAAACTGTAACAAAATACTCGAATGCGATTGGTTATCACCAGCCCGCTTTAAGTACTAAGAGGACAGTGAACACGTCATGCTTGTAATTGGACAATGTAATATTACAGTTGAGACGTCATGCTTGTCTAAATGGATAGTATGCATCATGAGCACACATTGTTGTCATGCATTTCACAGAGTTAACTGTAGGGTTTTTTTTATGAAAAAATATAAGCGATGTCTATTTTCTTTCTCAAATTTTGTCATAGTATTGATTAATTGGTAACAAGACTTTGTGTCATCCAATTCAGAATGAAATCACACTCATGATTAATCAGGCTCCCTCTTTGCGATTGTCTTATTTTGTGAACCACTGATATGATTACAGATCAAGTTGGACTCCACTCAGTTGTATTATCTTTATTATTAATGGTAATAAGACTGAGTGGGGTCCAATTCAGTCTGTAATCATACAGGTGATTAACAAAGTCAGATAATCACATAGCAGGAGACTAATTTGTCAATTACCAGTATGATTCCAACAGAATTACACAACTCAAAGTCCTGTTACCAATTAATCAAAATGGATCAAGAAAAAAACGTTCGATCACAGCCACCTGACTGATTATACTGTTGGATTACAACTTTACAGAATGAAAAGTGAAAAATAAAGCAGCTCATGCACCAATCACATTTGAGAAAATTGTAAAGGTAATTATTAATAATGAAAGTACATGCTCATGTACATTCAAGCATGCAGTGTGTCAGCATTACTTGCTTTCATTTATCACTTTACCTGTGATGCCATTTGTCTCCTTTTAAAGCTGCATAACATATCCACCTTTGTTTCCATGTCTCTGTTGCGAATTGGTTCCCGTAGATTTTCTGACAGGTTCATGTCCTCCTATATATCAAAGAGAGAGAAACAGTTTTTTTTTTCAGATCAGTATTAACCGTTTAACTAGAGTTGGCGAGGTCATCCAATATCAAGAACTACACTGACATATGATAAACCCACTTCAGCAGCAGTGAGCTTGAGGGATACCAAAAATTGTTTTCATCCAAAAATTTGTATCACTAATTTAATACATTTTCCAACATGTTTACTGCTGCCAGTGGCAGACCAATTTTGGAAATTTGAGTTAAATGTAAAAGTTGTAGATCTGGAGTGCTTATAACTCCTCATTTCTCTGCCTGGCTCACAAAATGGTAAACAAAGTTCTCTAGTTGTCTTTTCCGAAACCCTCACAAAAACAAAACTCACAAAATAATGGTGGACCTCACAGATATCACATATATCTGGCGCACTTCTAAGTGCTATGTAATAACAACTTCCTGACATATGTAAAAATTTTATCTTCAGTAGTAATACATGACAGGGCAAATTCAAATAAGACAGGGCTTGGCATTAAGTTATTTAACAAGGAGTTGTCTTTAAAAGTATGTTGTATAAAGTACAAAAGCCATCAGTGACATTATGTACAACTGCATAAAATGATACATTTATGTAAGCAGATATCTTATATGACCTTGTAGCCTAATGGCCGTTGTGGGTTAATACCTCTCTAACAACAAGTCATTAGAAAGCCTCAAAAAGGCATCTGATACATAAACGGTAAAGCCACCAACTTCTAGAAAACATTCTATATTCTTTCAATACAGAACTTGGCAATTTTTTTTTTGGTACGTGCCTTGCATTGAAGAATGACACTGCTATCGATCAAACCTTTGAACATCAGTCGCAGAATATATTTACTTGTTTACACAAAGTAATGGAGAGTTGCAAACGTAAATTACGGTTAAACGGACTTAGTTTTTCAACACACAGCAATATGATAATTTTATCCATGCAGAGACTTAGATGAAATAAAGATAATTTGTAATTTATCCTGAATATTGAAGTTAGCTTAATCTCTCTGAATATCAGCTCTAATGAGCAGACATTTAAAATTTAGCAACATCCAATATTATTTTAAATGCTCACATGCACGAAAATACGGGCGATATTTTTGAGGTGAATAGTTATAATGCCGCGCCACGTTTTTGCCGCTTAAAAAAATGAGGATATTAAGAAATTAATACGTCTGAGCCACTACAATAAAACTTGATTGTTTGTGATTAGAGTAAGTGCTACAAAAAAAATCACCCCAGAAATTTCGAAAGTAATTTGCATAACGCATCGCCCGAAGGACCGGAATTTACGGTGTGTTATCACAATTGCAAACATAGTTTGAAACTTCGCGAAAGGTGCTAACTTGAAGACGATCTTCAATAATGACGTACCAGCATTTTCTCAAACATTTTGTTGAATTCCTCCGGCGATAAATGCCTGATTCTTTCAATCTCCTCCTCCATGTCTTGGTCAAACAGCGGTTCCTCCTGAGTGCTCTTCAAACGCTCCTTCATCTTATGGCCGTTGAAATCTTTCTCCTTGCTCTTCTTTGTCTGTTTTCGCATTGACGTGATGCGATTCAGCTAAAAAATAATCGGTTGCGTTAATAATCACTGCAGCTTTAAGGGCAATTTAGACCATACAGACCGCGAAAGTCACCAATTTAATTTACGATTAGTCTGAGGAAAATAAGCAACATTAGATGTTGACTGAACTTACAATGCCGCCACCACTTTCTTTGGGAGCTGGATTCAATTTATCCCCCATCCTGCTTCCAGTAGTGAAAACAATACGATCGAAAACTCTTGTTCCAAAAATAGAGCTTTTACATCTTCTGATTGCTTTATTGTAGCCCAAACAAGTCTCCGTTTAAGTAAGACTGAAAAAAGTAGAAATAACGACCACAACTTACGCATGCGTAACTTCCGCTATTTCCTCCCATGAGTCACTACGGGTGCAACGGAACGTTCGCGTGACAAACTCTTAATGGTTTTATCTCTTGAGCTCGCCTACTATTGCAAATACATGAGCTCTGGATCCTGAAAAGCTAAGTTCTCTTCTAATATTATAAAATTCACCGTTGCTTCTGATCCAAAGTGACCATTTTTATTCGTTATTGACATACTTCTTTAAGTCACGCAACACTGAACAGTGTCGCGTGACCAACCTAACAATGTTTTCCTGGTCTAATGAGTTCAAAAGAAGTTTCTTCTGAGACAATCGTTATTCTTATCTTTACAAAAGAAGCTTAGAACAAATTCTTTTTGGATGAAAAAAAAATGAATCGTGCTGTGTTAACGTCAGAATTTCCGGGTTTATAGCGATTCAACCCGCTTACAACTTAGTAGTTCTTTGTTAGGGCGCACGTAATTTCCGTGGCATACATCACTGAGAAAGACTTTTTCTTTAAATCACGCTCGGCAGCCCATAAAATCTACAAAAAATACTCTTAAGAGGTCAAAAAGAGTGTGAGAGAAAGGTACGGATGATCTATTTTTGTTGAGCATTCTTGAAATTACCTCGAGGTTTTATCTTAATCGATGCGATCACTTCCTTCCGGTATGAATACTTAAATAATGACCTCAGGTTTAATTATCTTTCGCGTGTACAGATGGCGATTCTAAGCGATGGAGTCGTTTTAACTTCTCTGCTGACTCAAATGATATCGTGGGCTCGAAAAATTGTTAGATACACAAGCTAAGTTTGGGTTTGTTAACCCAGCGGTCATACGTGAACGCATGTGCAAAGGTTGAGATTGTGTTGTCAGGACCGAGTTTTCATGAAGGAATTATGAACAACTCCACCAGCTAGCTACTTTAAAACTGCGCACCTAATTTTATAAAACTCACAACGCAGTGGCAAGTCAACAGGATACCTGCGATTGAATCGCTTAATGTTCGAAAAGTTTGAGTTTCCTTTTACCCTTATTTACAGATTTCCATGAACGTTTTGTTTTTTTTTCTTTCGCATACTTCGCGCGACAGCGGATCTTCCGCGGGAAATTGGCGCGCGGCCGGCCATACCTGGCCCCTGCGCATGCCCGACTTTTGACCGCTGTGAATAAAGGGGGTGTGGTGCTGCGTCGGTAGGACGGTGTATCAAGATAATTTGGTATTATGAACTGAGTTGATAATTAACGTAAATACTGTGTTGGATTCGTTATTTTGCGTGCAGTCTTATCGCGTATGTTTCTTGTAAGATACGTGCAAAATGTCATGAGAAGTCTTACCGCCTTTTTCTGTTTAATGGCAAATGCCTCAGATATATTACACTCAGCCGCATTTTTTTAAATCTTAACTGACATCGAAAGCTTCTACGGAAGTAATCTTTCTGAAAACCACAAAGCAATTTTATTTTAGTAAAAAGTAGAATTTTTTGTCACCTGGCACAATCTCTCTGGTGAAAACTAAGAATCTACTCAATCTCTAAACAGAAGCTTGTGAACAAAATTCTATCATTCACTGAGTTTCAGGTTCAGTTTTAGTTTACCGTAACTAATACTAGCACTGAGCTTCTCGTGGTTTATTGATAAATACGTCGTAATCATCGTCCAATATCTTAAATTTCTTTTGCCTCTAGATCTGCGTTGCATTATAATATGCGTGATATAGTTTAGTCCAAGCAATCCCGTAATGTTTTCGCCACTCGATTGAAAAACTGGTAGATCATTTAACAGTTCGACTAACATCTTGCTTGCCTAGGGCAATTCCAAACAAGCAACTAGGATCTGGGTACAGCATTTAGAACTTGCATGCAACGAAGAGTACAACGAATGACTTAAAATTCTAAGATTACGTTAGAGTCATATTGCGTTTATTGAATATCGCCATCATCATCATCTTCGTCGTCGTCATCATCATTAGGATCACAGGGACCCATCATTCCTTTAAATTCGCTCAGCTCTACGTGGTCGCCATACGAGGAAAGCGCTGGCTTCTTCTCCTCACTTCCAGGAATATGCAATCTGAGCGTCGTAACTGTAACACTAGCTGGTGCTGCGAAGACGATGTGATCACCGAGAGGACAGATTGCAGACGGATTTGTGTCGACGGTGTAGGAGGCGAGCTTCTTGCCCTTTATCAGATCCCAAGCCTCGAAGGATGGGGGCTGATACCCCTTGGAATCAGTGGTAATGGCGATTGTGCCTTCTTCGTTGAGATAAATTTTGTCGATGTCCGTGGCAAAGAGGTCGTGAACCAGCTTTCCAGTTTGAATCTCCCAAACTTTAAGGCTCTCGTGGCTTGTTAAGGCGAGCATGCTTTTCGATGATATTGCAACCATATTCCTCCCACTTGAGCCTTCCTCTAAGGTGTGCATCAGCTTGCCGGTTTCTGTGTTCCATATTGCACTTACCTGGTCGTTTTTAAGCTGCAAGATGAAGTATTTACCATCCTCAGTGATAGCTGAACCATCCAATCCCAACTGCTCGTCTTTAATGGGTTCCATAGTCTTGTGCCCGTGTGTTTTGGTGTTAAAAACCAAAAGGGGAACTGTTTGATCTTCTTGCTCGACGTAGAAGCTGGCCTGAGAGCAGATCACCGTGCCGCCATCTTTGCAGATTAAGATCCCCTCAAGGCGATACTTCTGGCCAAGTTTATATTGTCCAACAACCTGCACGTAAAATAAATATTGATTAACCAACAGCTTACGACATAAGAATTCTCCACCTAATTTTTACCAGTCACGGTAAGGGCATGGAACTTTTTCTAAGTAGTTCGTAATCTCTGATGTATTGTGTCTTTTTTCTAGCGGGCGGGGTATGGGATTAATTACACTATTTCAAAACAGTGTAATTCAAACCGAAGCTATGTCTTGAGCCAAGGAGATAAATGATGCACTGACTACGAGCTTAACTGGGTGGGTTTCGAAGTGCGTTTATTTCAGCAACCTTGGAAGAGAGGTCATTTTGGTAATCGATCCTTAGTCCTTTGGGGCTTGCGCTCCGGTGCTCTACCGCTGAGCTATTGAGAATTTGGCTAGTAAGCTAGGCCATAAAAGGGTTTATATGCGACAAAGGTCCTGCATATTGCTGTGAGAAGCTATCTCATAAATGTTGTGTGAACACAGTGAATAGAAAAAAGAGAGGTGCTGAAGTTTTAGTTCTGGAAAGTAAAGAGAGGAGTTCATAATTCTCTCTTTGTCACCAACCAACTATTTGATTTTCTATAGCAATAAAAAGACTGTAAAACATCAAATATTTGCGTACCTTGCCTGTGTCAACGTTCCAAACTTTTAAATTCCGTCTGCCACGTGACAGCCCCATGAAATTCTTTTTGTCTATAAATCCAACAGCATTCAGTCTTTTGCTGGCTTTCCCTTGCAAAACACGAGTCGTTTTCGCCTGACCAAAGTCAAGTAACTTGAAGTGATCAAAGTGATCCTTTGTAGCTTCTCCAACAGCCATTCGACCAACACCGACCTTATCGTCTATCATGTGCAGTGGCTGAGGAAAGTTCATAGCCTTGATAGAACGGACTTTGACCCCAGCGAGAGCATCCCACACGGCAATTTCAGGCATCATCTTCACAGTGCAGCTGGCAATCACATGCCGGTTATCTACCGCAACTGTCAGCGTCCATATTGAATCAGCAAAACCTGCCGTAGTAGCTGTGACATCCGTCTCGTCCTCATCAACATTTTCTCTTGTATCGTAGACCCGAAGAACTCCATCTGATCCGGCAGTTGCCACGACATCTCCATTACGTCCATAAGTACCAAATGCTGGTTGCAACCTCGCTACGATGGTAGGTTCGCCCGTGTGAATTTCCCACTTCACCAATTCATAATTGTTTCTGATAGCTATCGCATTCTTTCCATCCTCAGTTACGATGAGGCGGTTGTTGTAACCGATTCCAAACTCTTTGAGGTCTAAAACGTACTCGCCCGTTTCAGCATTGTAGACCTTCAGCTGTGACTTAACAGAGGCTTCTGATACCACAAGTAACTGCTTTCTGGAAGTAAGGTGGATTTCTTTTACCTTCGTGTCTTGCATCTCCCCTCGGATCTCCTCTTTGTCCAACGCCACGTTTATCTGAAAGTGAATGTTGGAGTAAGTATCCTAAAAACAATATTCAGTTCCTGGAATTTAACTAAGTCGTGATATGGTAGGATGGTGCCTGCAAATATTTAGAACTATGTGGGCAAGTAAAGTAGAGTAGTCGAGGGGGAGGCACCTTTAAAACTGACGTTTCAGGCGATGACCAACTTAATTATGGCAATATTAGAGTCGGAGGTAATGAGAACTAAGTGATAATTGGAAAGACAAGCATACACCTGGACAAGGCTCTCTAATCCTAATCATAAAAATTACAATTTCCTCGATTGTGATTGTTTTAAAAACTCTTCTACAAATTAACTTGCCAAGTCGGACAGCTTGTTATCGGACATTTCAATAAGCTAATCACATTCAAAGTTGTGGTTTAATTCAACCAATCACATTCAAAGTTGTGGTTTAATTCAACCAATCACATTCAAAGTTGTGGTTTAATTCAACCAATCACATTCAAAGTTGCGGTTTAATTCAACCAATCACATTCAAAGTTGTCAAAGTAGTCAATTTTAGAACGACATTAAACAATCTACGCCTCGTTTGTCAGTCTTTTAATACAAAATTTCCCTTTCTTTCGCAACTTAGCTTCTCTTCTTTTCTCAGAAATGTAATTTTTATGATTAATTGGTAATAAGACTTCGTGTCGTCCAATTCGGTCGGTAATCATACTCGTGATAAATAAATCGGACTCTCGCTGCGCGGTCGTCTGATTTTGTTATAACTCGTATGATTACAGACCAAGTTGGACTCCACTCAGGCCTAACACCGTTATCTATCCAGTGGTAAAAAAAAGATTGGCAAATTGAACTGAAGGCAAATATTGATCAATTTAATCGCCCTTTGCA